CGGTTAATAACCGAAATGGTCACCCCTAGTGAAGACTTCGACTTCTTACTCTTAAGTCTTAACCACATGAAGCATTTTTTTTTCTGATTTCTAATTAAAATTATAAAATATCGTATGTTTAAAAAAATCTTATAAAATTTATAGTTTTATTATTTTTGAAAATTTTAAAATTCGTGTTGATAAAAAATTCGGATTTTCTTAGGGGGAAAATAAAAAAAATCCAGTCACGAGCTTTATTTTTGTTTTTAATGAAAATCGCATGAGTTCGTGGGCGATGTTGAGGCCCGTATTGTCCACGCGCCACCGTTGCGCGTGTGATTAGCGAAGAAAAAAACACTCTTTTGTTTTGATGGGCTTCTTATTATTAGCCCATAAAAGGCCCAACTAGGCCTATAAAAGACTTGCCACCTGTACCATACCATTTATTTCTTTTCGTAAATTTTTGTTAGCAAAAAAGGCAGGACAAATACATCTGAATCAATAAAAACATTTAATAGAAAATATTAACATAAGATCAACTCCGATAATTTTAAAAATATTTAGAATTTCGATAATTTATCTTAAAGATATTTGTATTTATTATCTAAAGACACGAATAATGTTTAAGCTTGAAAATTTTTAAGATCACAGGCAAAATATGAAGGAATCATACCATTAATCATTTAATCAAAGATCATCGATGATCACTTGTTCTTACAACTCAAAAAATTTGGGATTTCCTCATATATATATATATATATATATATTTGTGTATACACCATTTGAGGCCTTGTGACAATTATTATAAATTAAATATGCTATCCAAACCCAAAATCTCAAAAAAAAAAAAAAAAGGAAAAAAAACATACCATTATGTAAAGGCCATGAAGCAAATCAATAGAGAGAGTTGTAAGTACAACAAGTAGCAACAATGGAGACGATGGATATCAGAAGAGAAGGGAGAAGAGTGGCATTCAAGAGATGGCTCCTTCCCAAATATCCAGCCAGTGTGATCGTTGCATCTGCGATAACTCGGGCCAACGTTCCAGCCTCCGTCGACAGTAATCCACCGTTGTACGTTCCTCGGGAAAGCCTAGACGACATTACCCGCGATAGCAACGAGAGATTCACACCTGTTTATCAGGGGTGAAAAAACGGCCCGTTAGAAACATCATATGTTCAGACAGGTTTGAAGAACTATGTTTGGTGTTTTAAGGTTGTAATGCATGTTTGGAGATCAGCTCACTAGTTCAAGTTCAGAAAAAACCGATCTTTTCTGAAAAACGTCGAAAAGTTCTGATCTTTTTCACACAAAACCAGATGCTGATTCAGTTCGTATACCAGGCAATCGAAATGGTTAAAGAAGTGCCTCTTACCTTCAAGTACTTCAGCCGCTACGAACATGATGAGACCTGAGATGACATACTGTGGTACAGAATATGGGATGAACAGCTGGAAGCTGAATAGAATACCTAGACAGACAATGATTTCAGATACCAAGAGAATTTGCCTGCATTTCCAGAAGAAGAGGATCAGAGTTTGATTGGCAGAAAAAAGTACAAAACTTTCAGAAAACCCGTTTAGAAAAATCGGGTTTTTTCTTGTCCAGTTGGCTTTGATTCTCGGGTAACCAGTTACCAGTTCCATACCTGTCTTCAAACATGTTACTGATGTAACTTCCGACGATAACGTTGACTGGAAGCACTGTAAGGCCAAGACAAGCAAGGAAAATTGCAACAGAGCTTGTTGACCAACCAAAGTAGTATGAAGTAATGACACTTGACTCCGACAACAGTATCTCCATTGCGTATTTGAGCATGAAGTATATTAATAGTTGAACCTGAAGATCGAATAGGGCAATGGGTGAGAAGAATGTTGTAAATTTCAGAACAAGTCCTAAACTTTTCATCCTCTTGCTACAATCTCACAGTTTAAAACTTAAAAAGAGTCGGTCTCTCACAGAGATGTGTTTATACCTTAACAGATGGAGTAAGAAGTCTGTATGCAGATGCAAGAGAATTTGCCGGCCTGCGAGAATCTTCTGGAGCTTCTTCACTTTCATCACATTCATCCTCATCTTCTTGCTTGTTTTCTGAAGAAATCAGTAACGATTTTCTGATACCTTCCTCGATTCTGCCATTGTCATCTCTCTCTGTAACTGCATTGTCCCAAAATCCAATCAATACTGTTATGAATAACAAAAATAAGATCGGAGAGAGAGAGAGAGGAACTGGAGTACTTGATCGCGATTCGTTTGATTTGGACTGTTCTTCTTCTGGGTCACGTAATGGCTCTCTGAACGAAAAGCAAAGCCATACCAAGTAGACCAGCCAAGCCACGGCCATAACCCAGCCAGGCAAAGTGGCCTGATTAAATGTAAACTTGTAGATCTTGAAGTTCGTTTGAAGTAAACCGGCTAATGCAGGACCACACGCCATTCCAAGAGCACTTGCACTCACAAACCCTGCCGATGCCTGCATCCGTATCCTCAGAGGTACACAGTCACTGATATATCTTCGGTTTACAGCTCTTGCCGATCCCAATCTGCAAATTTCGAAACCACCCTTTAAAGATTGTGCCTTTCCCCGTTAAGGAGAGGTCGAAAAGAAATATGAGAAAATGTAACTTACCCACAAAAGACACGTCCGAGTAAGAGAAGTGCGATAGAATTGGCATCATAAGCCAATGCATACATTGCATTTCCGACAAAAAGGGCGATACTGCTAAACACGAGAGGTTTAAAGTAGGATCTGTTGGACCAAGCGCTGAAATACACAGATGAAAAGACTTGAGCCACAGCCATTGCTCCAATGACAATACCGCAAACTGTAGCTGCAGCACCAAGGCTCATTGAGTAGTCATCTGCCGTAGGGACAATGATATAAGTGTTGACCATGTACAAAAACGTGTTCCCTAAATTTAGGAGCAACGACATAAAGTGGTATTTCCGATCATCAATGGTGTCCTCTGAAGGAGTTTGCAGTTCATCTTGCATGATAAGGGCATGTTGGGCCATGAAATTGAGGAAGTTTGTTGAATGGGTTAACTTGTCCACTGCAGCCTTTATCGAATCCACCACAGGATCCTGCAGAGAATACCGTTTCAGTTTCAGCTTCTCGGTAAGGGATACCCGAAAAAAAAAAGGATAAAACTTTCTGATCATTATATTGTGAAAGAAAATGAGAAACATTTATTAAAGTTTAACAATGGCCTCTGATGAATTTATGCTTGAAAGGTACCTGAAGAGGAAGAACAGGTTGGTCATATATCGAATAAAAGCTTCCTTCATTTTCCTGCAGCTCGTGAAGATTCCGGGAAATGGCCCCGACAACAGCTACCACCCCCTACATATTCCATCACAAACAAAAGACTGTGAATCAACAGTCTCTCTGAAGCTGTGTTTCGAAATCATGCACGAAGCAAAAGCAGAGAAGGAACTTCATTATATATATAACCCTCCATTACCACATGTTTAAACACTTGTTGAAGCTGAGAGTAAGGATGATTGGCACGGGTCTTCACATAGTAATCGGTGAATCTATAGCCAAACCGTTTGTCAAATTTCTTTAGTATCTTACGCAAACCAACAGCATTGATCTCGACAAACTTCAGAAGCTTTAAAAGATCTCTCCCAACTTCTCGATATGCCTCTCTGAGTTCGATAATGCTGGAGATGTCCGGCTGCTCTTGGATACTGTCATGCCATTCTCTCAGCTTCACTAACCGGCTTGCAACCAGCCCTTGTTGCTCCAGCATGAACAGAACAGTTTTCTCAATCTGCAAGTAACAATTCATTGAGAATATACATATCCGAATCTCTAAGACTATGGTTCAAATCATGTTTTCAAAACAGATTATTTACACTAAATCTTAACACCCTTTTACAACAAGATTAACCGGTCTCATCTATATGACATGTTTCCACGAATAACTCTAAATGTCCAAAGATATAATCGAACAAGGATGATCTGTTTCCAGAATGTTTCATCCAAAAAGAAGAAATCTTTAACTTTCTTGAGAGATGTCTCATGAATCAAAAAGACAAAACATTTCCATGTTCTCTGACTTACCTCGGTATCCAGCATCCTTGAGAAATCCTTGAGAACATGGCGTGGATGTTGAGTTCCAACTTGTAATTGCTCAGCATATTGCTTCACTTTCTTTTTCATCAATTTGTAATCGATGTAATACCTAATCGAATCCATAAAAATTCCATTATCAACACAAATCAGACAACCAAACTTAAGCTAAGACGCCGAAACATCAGAATGTCAAAGACAAACGGTTAAGAAAGACATACCCTTTCCATTCATCGATCTGTTTCCGCTTCAGATACTTCCCAAAGGCAACCATCTTTTATCGCATAAAAGCACAAAGAACCTTCAAACTTGTCTAAGAGCCTAAGAATGAGATGAAAAACCATTAGAACACGATATCCCGTATATAAAGATTACGCCTTTGTCTACTCGATTGCATTTGGAGAAGAGTTCAGACGATTCCATAAAATTTTAATATTTCAGAAATTAATTAATTATATTATCAAAGTCAATCGCGACAATCCGGATTATTTTCAAATTTCAGAAAAAGGAAAATAGAGAAGAGAACGTTTCCAAGAACATTTGACATTTTCAGGGCTACCAAAAGACTAAGTTAACATGACAAACACTAATGATAATAATGCACCACACAAGTAGATGCAGAAAACATATATAATGCAGATCAAAGATCTGTAACACTTATTGCCACATAAATATAGAACTGTTACGATAGATCAAATCTCCAAGAGACGTAGCTGAAGGGCAGAATTGAGAGATTTGATTCATGCATATGGTAAAAATGCAGAGGAAAAAGTCAATTACTTATGAACAACTTGACTCGGGCAAGCCCCGGCCCCGAGATTAGTTTGGACCTTGGTCCAGGATACCCGATTACTCGGGCAAGAAGAGATCTTCATGCATCATGCATGACAGAATGACTGATGCAGGAAAAATAAATCAAATGGTTATGAGTCTCTAAGCATTTCATTAGTGCTCGAGCACTTTTATAACGCAGAATTGATCAAGAAGAAAACTCCTTAAAACACTATAATATTCAGCAGGTCAGCGGATATCCCTACAAGCCATGTGCTCAGACGATACGATCACACGCTGAAAAGCACTGTAATTACATCTTAAATCAGATCAGCAGCATATTAAGAAATCACTGAAAATACCAATTCAAACAAAACCAAGAAACGATCAGACCAATATCTGTATAAACTATTGCATTCCATCCGCTGAGATGCTTTATTTTATCAAGAACCACCCCCCCCCCCCAAAAAAAAAAAAAAGGGGAAAACCTTTTATATCCATGGATCCATGTTACCTGTCTCTATGCTGCTGCTGCTGCTTCTTTGTATCTTCTATGGGTCTATCGAAGCACTTATAAATCCTTTTGATCTAATCGAGCTCACGCAGGCTGAAACAGGAAATCTGCTTATAAATAATACAGCAACTGGATCAGAACAACACGAGATTAGCATGAGGATTCAGACATAATTTAAATACAAGGGAAGTCAATGACAATGATTATAGAAAAGAAACAAGTGGCTCTAGTGGATACAGATTTGTTTGGCTGCTGAGAAAATTCCACAACAGGAGTCGTAACATTGATTTTAAAAGACACGAGAAAACGGCCAAATTTAGGAACTTTTCTATCCTCAAGTCCAATCATCCCGACTATTTCCCGTCTTCCCCTGTCATATAAAATGCTTCTGATCACATTTTCTCAGCAACCAAACAGACCCACAAGAAATTAAGATGACAACCACTCCCCCATCTCTTAAACTAAAAAATTAAATACCTCAGAGAAGGAACACGATTAACCCGTAGTCCTGGAACTAGTTTTTGAGGTGTAGATGAGCATCAACAAACGCCTGAAAACAACATCCCAAATCAAAATCGGATTTTGGTTTTTTAGGTTTTACCATGAAAAGAAACAGAAAGAGATCAGAGAGTTACTTGTTGAACTTGAAATCACAACAAGCTCGAGTTTTTATCTTCTGATCACAAAACCCAGAAATAAAAATGCAGACTTTTGTAAATTCCGGTAAACCCAATTGCTAAAACCTAAAATTGTGCTTGAAAAAGGAAAACCCACAAGGCATAAGAAGGGGAAAGAAACAAACAAGAGAAAGAAACAGAGAGAGAGAGAGAGAGAGAGAGAGTATGTTTTTTAGCTGCTCGGATCTGAACACAGAATCTTGTGAATGGTTGTTTGATTAGTGAATTTAGGGGAACCAATCATTGACGTGAGAGAGAGAGAGAGAGAGAGAGAGAGAGAGAGAGAGAGAAGAAAATAAGCTCCAGAAGTTCTTATTTGAACGTTTTTAGAGTTTGTGGACTTCACGCAATTGCATGTAACTTTCTCGAGGTGCTTTCTGTGAATAATGAAGAAATGTGGGGACGAAAACAGACATTTTATTTAACAATCTGCGAATATTTGTACAGCTTACGCCTTACGGCACTGAGAAAACGATAAGACCATTAATTTAAGTTGCTAATTAATAAACTTAAGTGATAGAATTTAATCGGATTTGTTTCGAAGACATTCTTATCTTAATTTCTTTCTCCATGCTTATGTATATAATAAGAAAGGGAAATTTTATTTTATTTATAAGAAAGATATCGTAGTGTTTGTATGCAAATTGTATTTGTTATTTCATGGTTATCCGACAAAGGAAGCAACGCAATTAGAGTAAATCCAAAGCGTATTAACAGTGTTTTATTAGAATAAAAAGAAAAGCTAGATATTTAATATTACAAAGCAAACCTCTTACTTTCTCATTTTTCACTTTCTACCCCTAATGATTTTTTTTTTTGTGTACTTGCGAGCCCTAAACCCATAAAGCATTCATGACCATCATGCATGCAGTGTCACGTGATTAGTTTCCTAAATTAGCGTACCAATCATAATGATACAGCATTTCATTTGCTAATTCATAATATTCTCGATCCAAGAAGAAGGAAACAACCGTGGCGTAAAAAAAAAAGTGCGTTTGGCTGGTGGCGTTGTGGGTCTGCGCCACGTGGCGATATCCTTGAAACCAAACTCCACTTCGATGTGTCTGGACATTTGGAGAATTTAACACACACAAAAAATCTGTCTAAAATAATCTTTTCGATTAAATTCTGAAAGATGTGTGTGGTGTCTTTAGTATTTTGTTTTCTACAGTCGAATAAATTTATCTATTAGATATTACATTCATTATCCACCTGATACATTATTATATACACTATGATTACCATATGCAAACATTTCTTATATTATTGTATAGCAGAAGTCATATGTGGTACGACCATAGAAAAAAATATTTTTTTTGTGAGAGAGATAGTAATCGCTTTTTACGTGTATAGAGCCTCGGCCAAGCGAAATTAAAATGTGGCCAACAAATTGTGGGCATATTCTGCAATAATGTTATCCAGCTTTATTGGCTGTCTACCAACCCTTAGGATCCCTGTTATTGGACCAAATAAAATTGGTAGGGTCCATTTCTAGACTAACCCCCCAGGTCCATATATACATACATGTGCTCAATAATGACCAAAACCAAACACTGACTGAACCTAATCCCGGTTTGGCAGACCGGGATAAACCGGATACAGACCCAGAGACAATATTAGGAAGAGCACTGACCGGTTGAGTCCGCTTCGTGCTTAGCCGACTGAGATTGTACGGAAACCGGGCAGAACCGGAGGCAAACCAACGACCAAAACTCGAAAATAAAGTAGCAACAATTGAGATTAAACCGATAAATCTCGACGTTACAAAAAAAAAAAAAAAAAAAAAAAAAAGCGCGCTTGTGCATCTCTAGCTTTTTAAGAACCCTGTTTTCTGTCAAGTATGCATTCATGCCGATTGCTGATTCGCTTTGTATTTTCATTGAAAAGGAGGTTTGTCACCTCTGGAGTGGTGTGTGTGATGATGATTCCCTATAAGATCCTGAATGACAGAAATTTGGTTTATGTGTTTTGCTTTCAGCAAGGGTATACAAACCCAATTCCCAACACTTTACTGGCACAACCTGAGCAGAGTGTTAGGGAACTACTAGGTAATCCCTTTGGCAATCTCATGCAAGACTCCCTTTTTTAGGGTTTCGATTTCAATCCCCAAATGAAGGAAAGCTTTTGGAGACTCGAAGAAATCACAGAGTAAAAGGAGCAACAAGAAGCTTATAGAGCAACCCAAAAGGCTTCACCCTAACACTAACAGCTACATTACATTTCTCCAAGGTCCGATCTTTAGGGTTTTAGGGTTTTGAAATCACCTTTGTGCCTCGAGGCCATCTTGGCCTTGTAGAGGTTCACTTTCGATGGGGCGATGATCTCTATCGCCCCGAGGACACATTTGTGATACGAGAAATCCTCCATGGATCCGTCTTTTCTAATCAACTTGAAGCAACGTGTATCTTTGTGCTCGGAACTGTATCCGACCTGCGAAAAACCAGACGCGAGGAACATCATAAACCGGTCATTCTCGATATTCCGAAGATTCAAAGGAATCATATTTTACTTTTATTTCTTGAGCTCCTCCTCCGATTTTCTCATCCCTGTTCGGGTGAAAGTACAGCGCGATCATCAACGTTTTCTGATCTGCTTCGCCCAAACGATCATTAATCTCGTACCTGAAAAGAAACACGACTCAGACAATGTGAAACCGAAAAAGCAAGAATCTTTTCGAGCCTTCGAACGAAAATACCGCAACTTTCGGATCATTTGATGTAAATGCGTACTTTCCAAGTATATTCCCGAGCGCCCGGGAAAGCTTCATGATATCGTTCCAAGTCAGCTTGCTCCTGAGGTACGACTTGGAAATGCCCTTTCCGCTTAACGTTTTCATCGCTTTCGGGATCGAGGATTCGAGCGAGTACAATTGTCGCAATCCGGATTTATCCGACTTGGGCATCGGATTCGGTGCACGCGTCGAGTATGTCTTCGGGAGTGTAGCCGTGCTGCTGAGAAGATCATACACATCTACAGGCTTTGTAAATCCATGCTCCTACAATAAAACCGAGGCTATTAGATTATTGCAGTACGCATCGAGGAAACGAAGAACTGATCCGACGAAAAGTGCCGTGTAAAGTTCTCACCTTTTCCGAGTAGATTATCTCAAACTGATTACCGTTTCCGAAAGACGGAACGTTTCCCCAAGCCAATGCATCGATCGATCCTTGAAGCTCGTCTTTAACACCTGCCTTGGCGGCCTTAAGAAAGCAGTCGCTCGGGCTCTGGAGAAATTTACGTAGCGATATCGTCACAGAACTATCCCGAAACTTACAAAAGAGTAGAGAGAATATCGGGAAAACAAGGAAAAAAAAGAATGAACTTTAAAGTTTATACCGAAAAGCATGCTTGCGTGAACGGCGAAGGAGCAGACGAAATCTGCCTTTGTTTAGCCCAACCTTTGGCGTTTAACCCTACAAACTCTCCGCTAACAGAGAGAGCGTCGGCTGCCAAGATCAGATGTTGCGGTAATATCGTTTTACCTGTATCAGATATGGCGGATTCCAAATTCTGCGGGTAAAAGAAGCACGGGGAATATGAGCGAAGAAAGCAAATGAGATAGGAATACGCTAGAGGAAGTTGTATGTACCGCAAGAAAAACTCTCCACCCGACACCAATCCCGAAAGCAGAGCCGCACTGATGGATATTATCGGGATGACTTCGGGTCCAGTCAATCAATTCAATGATCTGAACACAGTTATCCAAAAGTTTATTCCATCCATTGCCCTCCATCGTAACCTTCAAAAAGAGCTCACCCGAAGGATTCCCGTTTTTTTTCGGTGCCTTCGGTTGATCCGTCCATAGGATCTCTACCTTCTTGACCTCTCGGAAACCTGCACGAACAAGAATCAAGTTCGTATACTAACACATTTCCTGGCAGAGAACGGAGGTTCCGAAGAATATAAAAGGTACCTTTCACAACGGAGTCGAGGAGAAACGGAATCAACATGCAACGAACAGAATCCGGATCCGTAGATGACTTCTTCGAGACCTCAACAATGGTAACCGTGATGCAGAATCCGTCATTCTTCGTCGAGTTCTTGTCTGAACAGTCGCTACTAAATCCGAACAAACACCAGATATACAGTAATTGTTAATATATACAGGAAACGAGAAGGAAAAAATAACGAAAAAGAAGAGAAAAGGTCTTTACTTGCTTCTTATCTTCAGATCAGCTATATCCAGTTCCAGTCCGTTCTTCCTCGTCATATACTGCTTGTACAATGCCTGGACAATGGATTCCACTTTCAGAAGCTTTCGCTTTGCTAATTCCTGTAAGAACACGATTTTTTATGAAGAAACAGAGACGTAAATGTCGGGTACCGTCTGTATATAAACTCCGTTAGATTCCGAACCTTCGATACGTGAAAATGGCACACCCACGGGCTCAAAGGATTCTTTGTATCAGCTTGCGGGGAGAATCTATTGTCCGGAAAAAGATTCAAATTTGTTAAAAAAAACAGTTGAAAAAAAACACGAAAACGATTCATCGAAAAAAGTTACCGACATTATCGTGACAGTTGAAACAATCTCCGAGAACATCAGCTTCTCCAAGTGGTTCTTGACTTCGAGTGATCCGTATTCAAACCCGTACTTTTTCTTCGAAAGGATTTCAGACAAATACAGTGACATTGTCTGTTCTCGAATACCTTTCTTTGATCCACACTCCAAAACATTCTGCGGAAGAAATCTCAGTCATCGTTCAAAGATGGTAAGAACAGATACGGCTATACGCAGAGAGAGAGAGAGAGAGACCTTAAGATTGAGCAGAGGAGAAGTTTCTAGAAGACTGATGGGTTGGTCGAGCGCACTATACGCAGCCTCGGAAATCGCGCAACCGGACAGAGATCCGACTGCATCACCGGCTGCTACCTCGCGGACAGATTCTGCCTGGTAAGAAAACTGCACGAGATGGTTCCCGTACGAGTTTCTCACTGTCCCATCATAAGATGCGTATATGTCCCGCATAAAGAACATCAGTCTTCTGCTAAGTGTCCCAGGAAGATCGGCATTGTCGCTGAACGAACTGTCTCGGCTCGTCACGGAATGGACGAAAGCTTCCAACGGGTTCAAACCTGAAAGAAACGAGTTCTCGACTACTCCGAAAGGAATGAAGGATTTGGTGAATTTCGTTCCGACGAGAGGGGAGTTTCCGTTGTTCCAGGCGGAGCAAGAGAGTTCGGGTGGGAACCCGAAAGACAGAGGAACCAATGAATGTTGAAGACCGAGGCTCATGCTGTGCTGAACGAGTTTCCCGATGTTTCCTTTGCTGCCCGCTTTGGACATGATCAGAAATGAGTTGTGCGAGTTTCCGTACCGGTAAGCCAGTGTCTGGATATCCCTGAAAACACCCTTGAACGCCTCGACAGAAACTTGGCTTAGCTTTGCCGATCTCTGTCTGTCATAGCAGAATTTGCCCCGCTCGAGTTCCAAATCATTCTCCTCTTCTTCTTCTTCTTCATGGTCATTACCAGCAAGGAGATCGAGGCACGAATTTACTGTAAGTTGTTGAAAGTTGCAGACCTGTTCGGCTTCTTGCAGGCCGTAGTTTATCTCCTCCAACATGTTTCTCCGAGATTCCGTGTCCGTTGAAAGATAGAGATCCGACAAGGAAACGCTCAGACCACGCATCGATAACCACTCTGAGAGCATTTCTTGAGCCGAGTAGACAATGTCAAGAACCTTGCTTTTGTCATAGTCGATCAGATTCTGGATAAAATTCCCGTCGCAATCCCGTAGCCAAGCTGAACCTTCCGAAGATGATAAAAGGTCCCCGTTTCTAACTACGACGTCGTTAGAGGGGAATTCGAAGTTAAACCCGGGAGGAAATAACATGCTGAAGATCTGCATTCCTGTCCATCGAGGTTTGTTGTCGAGCAAAGAAGCTCTGATCATGGCAGGTGGAGGCATCTCGAAAGGGCAATACATTCGCAGTTGCTGAATCTCAGAACGTTTCAAGAGACGATTTTTCTCGACGTTTACCAAATACGCAGCCGTCAAGCTATCCTGCCCGAGTATCAGCAGATTCCTACCATTCTGCCCATTGATAAGCTGTTTATCAAGAGCCACTAGCTCGTTCAGCTCGGTCCTTGTCTGAACAGACTGAGGAACATACCCATGAAGGCAATCCCCGTCAAAATCCCCACGAAAAGGATGGCAACAAATAGGGTTCAGTGAGATAACGGATCTTGTCGGGAGAAGCCGTGCCGACATGGCGATAAGGGAATGCTGGTGGATAGAAGGAGGCCGGTTCATCATAACGATATCGCCGTTCATTAACGGCCGGAAAATGTTATCCCCGGCTCGTAATTCCTCGATGCTACGGATAGTGACCATCTCCTCTCCTCTCTTTATATATGTTTCGCCTTTCTCTAGCAGACGGAGATCGCAAGAATTCACGAGCCGTTCCCAGTTCCAGTTGTTTAGGTTCTCGGAAACTAGCAACCGCTCCGCAATTCTGCAAGGGATACCAATCTCGTCGAGCTTCAAACACGGGTCACCGACAACTACTGTTCTGAACGTGTGATCGCTTCTTTTCCCGAGAAGTACGTCCTTCATGAATCTCAACCCGCACAGCTTTGGGGTATCTGACTTTTTCGCAAAAGGGTTAGCGGATTCTTGACTCGATGACGTAGTTTCCGAGAAAAGCTGTAATTTTGGATACAAAACACTTTCAGATAGAAGGGAATCAGACCGGAAAATGATCCGAAAACACAATACTTACCCTGGAATACTGCAAGCATTCAATCACACGAGAACTCAATTCGAGTCCATGGCCCTTGAAATCCACGAGTTTCTTGTAAATCCGTGTCCGTTCATCCTAAATACATAAAAATACACGACAAGATATGAGAAAATATCGTGGTAACCGACGTAATCTTGCATGAAAATGATCAAATATCGAAGCTTTCTTACGAATACTAATCGACTCCCAGTGAACGAATGGACCAGCTCTGTAACGCGGTGACCATTTGGTGTAACTGGGAAAGATCTAAGGGGAATAGAGTTCAACATCGGAATAAACCTCCGAACGAACCTTTCATCGATTCCTCCTATCAGAGAATAAACCTGAAAAAGAAAAAAAGAATGTATCAGAGAATCTGTCTTAAAATGGTAAGATCCGATGCTACAAGTGAAAGTACCTGAGCATGTGTAAGAACCCGACGGGTAGGTTTTAGACAGCTTTCATCTATGTTCGTGTCTTTCGGCAGGAAATCCCAAAAATCGGGAGGTAAAGATGTTTTCCCTCCAACTCGGAGTCTTTCCATGCTTTTTTCGGATACTTCTACTATAACTGCAGACTTTCTGAAAACTTCTTTCGAAGAGACTCTGAATTTCACCGAAGGATACCATGTTTTTGCCTGAAACATACGAGTATAAATGGCAAGAATTGAAGAAAAGAATGCGGAATGTGACAGGATCAAACTCTTACACGACAATATCTGCACGTTATTGGACGTTCTCTGGGTTCGGAATCAGTTCCCTGTCCCATGCAAAACCAAAACCAGAAAAAACAGAAACGTAATTCCATCAAATGAAGCATCGTCATAGAGAATCTTAACATTGAAATCCACGTTGTATATCCGATCTGACATTTCGTATGGGCAGGACTTAGATGTACAGACAGATGGATAGATACACAAGTATATATTACCTTAAACCGCTTCTCTAGCCGTATGTATTTACAACCCGGGCAGACCTTGTTTAGCAACTTGACAATCTCCGAAAGGAAATACGGATGAATCACAGAATACCCGAAATTGATAACCCCGAAATGACCTACCCAAGAAAAATCGGGAAGAAAATTCATTGGCCAAGCATATGCTCAAACAAACCAACAAAGAATCTATCAATTCAAAGTAAAGTACCTTCACAGGTTCGTCGGTCATTACTTCCACAGGTCAGACACTGAGATTCGGGATTCGGAAGCCCGAGCCTGGAATCGGTGACTTCACTCGAAGCCCTGACCTCGAAAACCGACGTCTTTCCCTGCCACATGATCAGTTATATAAACATGGGATTTACGTTTCAATAAACGGTTTCCAAAATGTTCGAATATTAGTGAAGAACTTACTATATCTGTATAGTTCGAAATACTGAAGCTTATGCCTTTCAGGACACCGAGAGGTGCCTGAACCTCGGGGAAGTTTCGGTTCATTATGCTTTGCTGTGATTAACAATTTCAGATTCAGTGAACAAAAAAAAAAGGATCATGAACAATAATCAAAGAACATTACAAGACAAACAGATTTGCCTTCAGGAGAAGCAAATCGACATATGTGGCTAAACGAAAAACAAACTGGGAAAGGTAATCTGTATGTATCTGTTTTCGCTTTTCCGACATGTCCGTATATCAAACATACTTTATATATATATAACTTATTGAACAAGTAAACCAGAAATCTGATCAGAGAGGTAGATATCAACCCAGCTCTCTCTGTTGGATCATCAAGACAAAACCTATTGGGAACATACTTAACATGACGGAAACTACACGTTACAAGGACAAATCTGGTCAGTAGAGAATGATTCTAATCAAAACGAAAAGAGCAAAGGAAGGATTCTGAATTGAACAACCAGGAGATTGAAACTAAGTCTTCCATGATCGAACTTGAGGAAGATGAAGACATGATCCAAAGCAAAAAATTACCCAAATAGTGTACAGCTGATCAAAATCACAGCAAAAGACAAAACCTTTAACCCACATTACTCAGATTTTCTAAATCAAAACCCTAAACCCAGAAGAAGAAGAAGAACCGAAATTCAGGGAAATCACGGTGTTAATCGAAATACCCAGAAAAAAAGGGTAATACCTTTGCAATCCTTTCAGCTTCCCAAAGCCCCACAAAAACCCTATTGGAAGGGTGGGTCAAGGGTTTTGAAACATAAGCCGTTTCACAACAAAACCCAGGAAGATTTTTCAGCACTACAGCCGAAGAGCACGATTACTGGAGAATCTACTTCACATGCACCACAAAAAAACGCAGATTTCACGAAATCGAATCTGGAAACTCAGAAAGCACGTCAAATAAGACGCAGCAACGCAAATCACTCGAAACCATGGGACGATAGAACGAACATAGACGAAACCAAGTAGGATGAACACACGGCAAAGAAAAACAGAGGATTAACGATCAAACACGCGAGAAGCCTCAAACAGGACAAGATAGTGATCGATCAAAACGCAATGTAATCGAATCGGTGAGCATGATTGCGAGACATGGAAATATAAGAAAACCCCAGAATCGGATTTAGACAGAGCAATGTAGTTACTTACAGAATCTACGAACAGACACAAATTCCTCGCGAGGGGCAAAGACAGATTGAACAGTAAAGTGGACGAAGGCTCTGTTTCAGTTCTTCCTTCTTCCTGATGATTTTGGCGGATACTAAAAGAGACCCAGAGGACGAAATTGCGAGAAGAGTAGAAAAAGAAGAAAGCGAACAAACAAAAAAACAGCAAAAAAGGAAAGAAAAAAAAAACGAGGAGAAGCGGAGGCTTGTGAAAGCCGCCGGTTTGTGTTCCCGGAGCCAAAGCCAAAAAAAAAGGGGAAAAACAAATAAAGAGAACACGAAACTCTCAAGTCCAAGTCCAAGAAGACATAAGACATAGGAAGCAACAAAAATATAAATACCGAAAATACCCCTAGGCCTAGGTCGCAATTACAGCTCTACCTCGTCAATTTACGATAATTTGTGAAATTTTCGAAATTTTGGACGAGAAAAAAAAAAAACACAAGGTATTTCCATTTATTCTCATTAGTTTAATAAATTGATAGGGAGTAGGATTTTAATTTTAAAATAATAAAGTGCATCATATGCCCATGACGCACCGCAAAATAACCAAAAGAGAGTTTTTTTACTAAAAATTAATAAATTGACTGTTTATTTTTTTTTTTTGTCCCGATGGAAATTCAAAATTTGTATTCTTTAAATCGATAACTTTGATTCTTTTCTACGGAAAAGAAAAACTTTTTCCTTCAATTTTATTTTTTTCTAAATTTTATCTCAATATAATTCAGATATATCCTGCAACAAAAAAATTAAGTATACAATTATACCCTTCCATTATTGAGTTAATTACAGAACTAGCACCATCGGTATTATGATCTACCAGTAAATAACAATCATTGGATTCATAGAGAGATTTATTTTGGCAACTTGACGGAACATTGTGTGGACCCACCTCACCGTTCTAGTATTTATTCCCCACTTATTATTTTTACCCACAAATTTCACTAATTCCTCCCAATTTCTTTCATCAAATCAGCGATTGCGATTGCGATTGCGTTTGTGTACACACAAGGATTGAGGCAATTGAGCGTAGGAAAGTGACGGAAGCGGTCAAAAGGACAAAACCGTAAATTCCTATAGTTTTATGCTGTGTGAAGATTATCAGTGATATAATTATATCCGTGGCCGTATTTTTTATATTTATTTTTATGTTTTTTTTTTTGGCGGATTCGCTTTTTTGTCATGCTCTTTTTGACCTTTGTGTGCACTGGAATTAATGTCTCTTTTTAATCACAAACAAAAACATAAAGTCAAGATATTTAATATTCGGTTATTAGCTGAGATTTTTCCGATGCTTAGGTTCCACTGGCCAATTTTTTGTATTGGAATCTGATCAGCGTGAAGGATATCATATGCTATATATATATATATATATATATATATATAGTTTATCCATTTCAATATTCCTTTGATGAAAATCTTAGTTACGATAATCTTCTCTTTTAAATATGTGTTTAATAAGCGGTTAACGTTTTAACTTTTTAGTAAGGAAAACTTGTAATTAAGATTATGCAATTAAATATCTAAAAATAAATTCTCTTATACAAGATTAGATAGCTCAATAGGTAAAGAACATTACAAACCTTATTCCCAATTCAAGTTCGGGTTTTCATTTAGAGAGGATAATTAACCTGAATTTTTTCGTTCATCGAAGATATAATTGAATAAAAAATTGTTGAATTTTTTAATTATAAAAAGGTTTTTTCCTCTTATTATTTTTATTGTTTTATATGTGTTTTTCCATCTTCTTTTTTCCCCAAGTAAAACAAACTTTTTTACCACGATATTTAATAACAAAAGATTTTAAGATTTTTTTTATGAATTTTTAGATGATTTTTTTTATAAAGAATAGATTAGAAAAAAGAGATATTTGAAGATATGAAACATAACTACAAGATATAATATCTTAAATAGCTAAAAACATAAATAGAACTCTTTTAAGAGGATAAAGAGAGAGAAATTTAATTAAAAAATAAAACCCCCTTTATTAAGATTCTTAATTTAATCAAAATAACTTCTATGTTTTTATTATGAATTTATTTTATCAACTATTCATTTCTCAATTTTAATTTCATACGTTTTATATCCATACATATTATATTATATGGATCATAATTATAGATAAGTATTATTAATCGTCATACATTATATTTTATTTCTTACGAAGATTGAAACTAAAACAAAAAATGGTGGATAACTTTGGAAAAAAAAGTTGGAAATTAATAAATTATAATTAAACAACACGATTAAGTTTTGGACTCAACCCATTTTAAAGGATCTGAATGTGAATTCAATATCTTCAAATTCCGTGGTTAAACTATTACCAAATAAGACTTTCTAACCATGCATTGTGTTTCAATGATATATAAATAATATTATTTAGCAATTTTAAAATTCTTATATTATATGTTTCGGAAAATAAAAGTCATGACAAGAAAAAGGCAAAAAATAATGGGTTAAAAAAGGGCATGCCTGCCAAAGTGTTGCTTCTTCTGCGTTAAATCTTTTTCCTTTTTCTGAACCAATTCAACTTTTTTTTTTTCAATTGGAAAATCATGTTCTTCTGATGATGCAATTATTTTCATTTTCCTTTATCTACAATTCGGGTATTTTTTTTGGTTAAATCAATTCGGGCATTTTTTCCATTTTGAAAACCATATAATCACGATTAAGTTTTCCAGTTTAAAACTACATAAATCATTTATCTACATATCGGTTATGATATATAGTTCTACATTTAATCTAATAAAAATTTAAATGTAAATAATCCAAGATAACATAATTAAATACAAATCTTTCTAATAAAACAATTTTAGTCGCAAATCATACTAATAATGTTTAGTCTAAATATATAGATTTAAATTGTACAAACGATGTGTATATATATTTTGATTTGGTATATAAATGCAAATTTAATTAAATTAAATAATATTTATACTTATAAAATATCAATATACTGAAAAAAATAAAATTTATATTATAAAAGAGACTAATAAAATGCATATTTTTCCTTCATCACACAAATAATTTATATCATTTTTCTATTAAGTTAATATTAACAAATATTACAATAAAATAATCAATAAAAAATAATAACTCGTTTGATAAATATAATAAAATTTGGAATAAAATCAATTTGTATATACTAGAACTTAAAAAATCTGAAAATTTAATTACATTAAAAAATAATAAAACATACGAATAAATTTTCAGAAAAAAGAGAACATTTTGGGTCCCGCAAACGAATCCGATTGACCAATCGCGTATAAAAAATCTGCCACAATAATTGGTACAATGCACTTTTTTCCATTACGAAAACAATAAATAAATTATTTTGCGCGTTATAAAATACAATACGAATAATAATATGTTATAGACTAGTATTGTAATTATGAATTATTTATATGATAAATATCGGTAAAAATTTTAAATAAGACAAGTAATTACTGAATTTAATATCCTAGCAAACGCCAAAGGGTTACGATTTTTGGTACACTGAAGTTTTTATAATTTTAAACTTTACGCAATTTATGGAAACATGCATATAAAACATTTTTTATATATTATATTCTTTTTAAATTTGATGCAGATAGTCGCAATTTCTGCATAAATATGGTCTTCCATAGAATATATCGACACTTGTCTTTTTATATATATTTAGTATATCGACACATGCTTCGATCATAACCGCACGTAAGAGCTCTTGCCAAAAGGAATAGTTGTAGGCTTTATATATATATAATTTTTTTACAAATAATATATATATATATACTCAAATAAAATAACATATCTATGAAAAGGGGGAAAAAGCAAACTCCAGATATAAATAAATGAAAAAGGTTTCGTCAAAAAAGTGTTGCATATTTTGGGGAAGCTTTGGCAAAAAAGTCTAAAATGGAAAAAAAAAAAGAATCTCATATTTTTTTCTTTTTTAATTCAAATATAAGATATATAAATATTGAAAACTATTTAAAATATGAAGAAAATGATCAAGAGATATCTGTAGCTATACAAGCATACAAAAAAGAAGAAGAATATTTTAAAAATTGAAACAGGAAAACTCTGATTTAGAAGCCGAATTATTTCTATCACTTGTTTTCATATTTTAATGGTACCAAATATAAATGAGAATTTGCCAAATTTTAAACGATAAATTGACCTTAAGTACTTACTTATTTATCTGAACTTATTGATCATATTCGTAAAATAATTATTATCTTGATTCTTTGCTAATTGAGAAAATTACAGATTTGATAAATAAATACAATATGGGGACAGATTTTAAACCATTTATTGACCTTAACGTTTGCCTAGAGACATAAATAATTTTTTGTCTGAACTTATATTCGTAAAATAATTATTATCTCGATCCTTTGCTAGTTTGAGAAAGTTAAAGATTTGATAAATAAATGCAATATAGAAAAAAAAATAAACAAAAGAAAAAGAAGAAGAGAAGAAAATAACGGGCATACTAACTGGGCCGTTCAAAAAGGGAAATGGGCTTAGAGAATCTATGAAAGAAAGGGTGTTAGAAAATTTCAAAAATCTTAATACTAAATTTGTAAAATAATGACAATTTTGTATATATATAAACAACCTAAATGATAATTTTTTAATTTTTAGGATATCTGGAGTTTATCTCTCTGATTTTATGAATGAATTCAATATCCAAAAAATGCTGTATTTTTAATTCCGATTTTTCGGAATTCATTCATTCACGTGTTTATAAATTATCTAATAGAGAGTAGTAATAACTTTAGATGAAATTTACAGTACTTTACATGAACATTATGATATTAAAAATTAAAAATTAAAAATACAAAACAAATGCGTCTGCCGGGAGTCGAACCCGGGTCTATTGCTTGGAAGGCAATTATCCTAACCGTTGGACTACAAACGCTTTATAATTATCATAACAAATACATACAAAATAATCTATTCGAGTTATAAAAAAGTTCCAAGTTCAATTACTAACAAATACCATAAAACATATATCATCACGTGGGTTGGTCTTAAATTACAAGTAAGAAGAATTACATTCCAACAACACATAAAACTACACAAAGCCATTTATTTAGTGAATTCAATGAATAATAAGAGCCTTCATCCTTCTTTTCTTTTCGTTTTTTTGTTGGCGTGAGTGTTTCCTCACACCAGAGGCCTTTTCTCTTCGTCGGCATCTCCTTGATGTTGACCCTCTTCCCGGGTATCCGATTTGACCCGACCCGACTTCCCAGGTCTCTGACCCGAACCCGAACCCGAAACCGACCCTGGCCACTTAGGGTCGGGAACCATCTTGAGAATAATGCCCATTGTGATCAACAAAAGGCCCGAGCCATGTTGCTCCGTCAACGGCTTCGTGAATATCACATACGACAATAACAACGTCACCGCTTTCCTCGCCGTCGTTATCTAATAAACAATTATTAATTAAAAAGAAAGAAAAACCAAAACTTTCCAAATTATTAAGTAAATAAATAAAAAAAAATCTCATATAAATATCTAAACTTTTATAAAAATCTTAAATAAATATCTTAACTATAAAGTTTTTATATAAAATACTTGATCTTTTTAAAAATCCTATAAAAATTCCTATACTTTTGAAAAAATTTCAAATAAACTAAAAATTTAGATATTTTTCAAATAAAAATAATCAAAGTCATTAATAGATTTTAATTTTTTCAAGAAAAAAGGAAAATCACTTTCTTACTTTAGGGTTAAGAAAGTAACATAAAAAATTATTATCATGACGAAGAAAAGAGACACGTTACCATAGCAGTGGTGGCGGCGCCGAAGAGAGCGATGAGGGAGAGAACGGAGACTTGCCCGACGAAAGTCGCCATGGCTTCGAACACCAACACTCCATACACGTACGGATGCTGCAAAAAATCCAATTATAATTATGAGAGAGAAAAAAAAATCTAATCAAGTAATTTAATATTAGACAATATATATAATCAAACCAACTATATTTATTTGATTTAGGATATTGGCAAATGGACCCTATTTACATGTGCATTCGTGCCTCCGTAAATAATAAAACACCGTACAAGCAAAGTATGACCGTTGACCATCTACCCCAAGATTATGGCATTCAACATGTGCGCGCGTGTGTATATATAATTTATCAAAAATATAAAATGAAAAAAGAAAATAAAATAAAATACCTGAGCACAAGAAGTCCAAGCTCTGAAAATCTCGCCGGTGAGAACCATAGGAGCAAGCAAGAATGGCAGACCCACCACCGTTGAGCAGAACAGCATCTCCATCTGCCATAATAACCCTAAAAACAATTCACCAAAAAAACGATACAAAAGAGTCGAGAAAAGGGCGATATATCCGCCATTGTACCTGTGTGGTGTCGGGATTCATGGTGAATATCGCTTCTTGCAAGTTACCGAGGAAGGCATCCATGATCAAGGCGCCCGATATCATCACCACCCCGATCATGCTGAAGTTCGGGGAGGTCTGGGCATCGGCCAGCGTGAATAGGATAAGTCCAACCACAAGTAGAAGAGCCGATATATACTCGTGAACCGGGTACTTCCTCCTCAATCCTGGTATAAACGCTCCCATTATCATCACCGGCAAAACCTACAAACACAAAGGATATCATATCAGAGATCTTAACACCACAATGCCATGGCCTTTATACCACCAAAACATTCGAATCAAATCAAATCAAGCGGTCCAACGATACATGACCAAAAAAAAAAAGAGATTATAAATCGAAATGTGAAATCATATACACCTTAGTGGATTTGAACATGATTTGAGCAGGGTAATTGAGATAAGCCAAGGAGCCTTTAGTGAGACCGTGGGAACCCATAAGAACGGCCGAAAGCTTGACATATGTCTTCCATGGATTCACCATTTGCTTAGTACTGAACCCTTGAAGGTATATCAACAACACGTACACAAATCCTTGTACGAACGTGAAATACCACCCGTAGCTACAGTTTTATTCACAAGCATATACGTATTGATCAGTATATGTTCACAAATTTTACGTACAAATACACGAAAACATTCGAAAAGACTATCGTATAGATCCGGAATGGACGTGGGCGAACCTGAAATGAAGCCGATTGTATACATATTCCTGCAATTGAGAAGACAGATGAGCCAAATTAGGAACAGAAAGAAATGTACTTTGTGGCTTTTTTTTTCATTAGCTAATTATGAAATTTGGTTGTAAGATTTTCACAAAACGGGGGACCAGACTACAATAAGACCATATTCACATGAACATAACTGTGAAGACAAATTGATCTTTGGACACTTTGTGAAACCAATTTTTGTCGGCACGAACATCTTGTGAGAATTTTTTTCCCACGTTTTTTTTTCTCTTAAAGGGAAGAAGCTGGTATATGAATTGTGCACACACTTGAACAAATCTCCAATCTATGGCGCTTGATAACTGAATATATATATATATATATATATATGTAAAAAAATCTAAATTAAGGGTACAAAAAAACTCGAAATTCCATGCCAAGTTCTCGACTTTTATCCTGGGCAAGTAATTTGTTATCGATTTCTGCCGTGGAAACTCGACTTTTCCCATTCGGACTGGATTTTCCCGAGAACCAAATAGCAAAGGTCCTAACTTTTCTCGGGAACCAAACAGGGAAAACTCTACATGCAGAGTATGAAAACCTTCAACGAGTATGTAAAAATTGAAGGGAAAAAAAAACAACCCATCAAATTACAGAGAGCTGGAGAAGAGATTTTCCGAGAAAAGAAAAACTTGAGAAAATCTACAGGAAAAGGAATCGAACCTCGCAGACGCCATTGACGAGGTAACCGAAGAAGAACCCAGAAGAACAGATGAGAAATTGTTGCCATCTAGGCTTATCAGAGAGAGAAATCCCAAACAGAGACCTTGATTGCTCATCGCTGTTCTTCATGATCTTCACCAAGAAACCCAGAAAAAGGAAAAGATCGAAACTTCTTTCTGGGTCTCTTTTGGGTTAATGTTAAATTTGTAAAAACTTAAGAAGGGTCAGTGACATTGACAAGCAGAAGAAGAAAAGTATCTATTTGAAGAAAAAAAACTCTCTCTCTCTCTAAAACTTGAAGTTGAAAACCTCGTCCATCTTTTATTCCGCGATATTTTCGAAATCAGATAATCAGATATATATATATAAAATTAATCCAATTAATAATATACAAATTATATAGATCAAATTATAAAAATACAAAATTAAAATATGTACGAATAAATAAATAAAATACCATCCTTTGTAAAAAAAAAAGACGAAAAGAACAAAAACGAATATAACAATAAATCGAAACAAAAAGTAAACCGAAACTCAAACTCCGCTCCTCGTCACACGAGATGAGGATGAGCTGGCAAAGCGGGAATCAGCTTGGACATGCCACGTGTCGAGTGCTGAATTTCCGTGCCGGAAATTCGGAATATTTAAATAATATAATTCGACGTTACTGTTTTAAAAAAAAGATTTTATATTTTTACAAACAGGCCACGAGACGTCACATGAATTTCGGTACAAGGTAATGCGAAATTTAATTTGGGGGTGGAAACGTTACCATGCAGGGTACATCGGGAATTGTTATTCCCCGGAATGCCATTTATCTTGTGATTACAAACCGTATTTTATGCGTGATATTATATGCTTTTTATACGATGTCACACGTTTATATGCATGTACAAATATATTATTACTAAAGATAGATTGTTCGGGTCCATAATATGACATTCGACCTAGTCATATCCAATTTTAGGCGTATTTTATAGACATAGGGCCTAGGCTTTTAAAACTATGGCTCATTAGGCCCGTTGTCGTGGGTCATGTGAATATTTTAAGATACATTTAAGAATACGCGTGAATATCCCGTTGTTTTTTTATTTAAAAATTATTATCCATCAAATCTTGTTATTAAATTTGGTCCCTTTTTTTTTCTGAATTCATTCGAGTTTGTTGAAACCGAACCAATACAGAATAAGCCCGGATTTCCACTTAATTTTTTTTAATGACCGGTTTATCATAAATTAAAGTTCAAAGTAATTTTAGGACTTTGAAAGCGTTGCATAAATAGTTACAGCGATCAAATAAAATTTTCTGTCTTAATTATATTTTTTGTAGCGTCTCAATCATTTGATTAAAAATAAAAATATTAAACTAACATCATTTGGTTATGAAATAAAACTGATGTGGGAAGACCGCATTAGCATTAATATTAGTATATAAAAATTAGTTGCATCCACTTATTAATATGTTACAAAACTTGGCTTACATCATTAACACCCAAAAAAAAATCTAGAAGGTTCCAGGAATCTTACAAAACACCAGTTCCATGTCGGAATCTCCAAATCGGACAGAGAATCTAATCACTCTCAAAATATACCCAAACTAAAAGTCCGGGATCTCGAGCTCCATTATCACTCTCACACATACACAAACATATATATATATATATACTGTATGTTATATATTATACACACGCAAACACATATGTATGTATATTTAGTAACTCCACAAGGACATGTCACCGTAGCACGCATCATCATCCATATACACACTCGAGCCAACATCTCCATAGTACATCGTCCTCGGCGGCGACATCAACGGCTCCGCCGCAAGCCTGCTCATCATTCCGGCCGTGTCCTCCTCCTCCTCCTCTTCTTCCTCCGCCGACCCTCCGCCGTCTGATGGCATAACCGTAATTAATCCGTTCCCCATCTCGGGTGGCCGGAAAATCTCAGCAGCAGCAGCCGCTGCCCTGCGGATGTCATCTGGGTCGTCGGATTCCGCCGCCGGGAGGCACCAGGCGGAGTCGGCGAAGTTGAGGGTGGCGGAGCGGCCACGGAGGGGGGGCGCCGCCGAGGGCGAGCGCCGCCACGTCGTGTGCACGCGCCGCCATCTCCGCGGTGGGGTAGGTGCCGAGCCAGATTCGGCGCTGGTGCTTCGGCTCTCGAACCTCGCAGACCCATTTGTCGCCGTTCCGGCGGCGGATGCCTCTGTAGACTGGATGACGTGTCTCCTTGAAAACTCTCCGACCGGCTCGCTTCTTCGGTCGCATCTCGGCGAGGACAAAATCGTCATTTTCCATCTCTCCGGTGCAACTTCCGGTGAACTGAACCTAACTTGGAAGACGAAAACGGATAGATTTTTCACCGGAAACTTCGTACGTGTCTTGATATCGATCTGGAATCCGAGTTTACTTCAACGGGGGAAAAAAAAAGATGTGATGTGTTTTTTTTTTCGAGTCTGCTGGGAGTTGTGAAGCAGAGTCAGAGTGAGAGTTTGAATATATAGGATACTGTGGGACCCACCGGGTGCGAGATGGACACGCAGCATACATGGAGGTTCTTAAAAGTTGCCACCCTGGCAGAACCGAGAAATATGCTCTTTATTAGTATCACCCAGGATTTGCTTATGCTTCCCTTACTGTTATTTTTTATAAAAAATTAAATACGTGCTAATTATATTTATTATCATCACAATTTCGCGTATATAAATAGTATCAGAAAATACTGTTAGAGTTAATTAACGATGACCTAGGAAATCACTTAAAACCCGTTTTACAAATTATAGATATGATCGGAAATGTAATAATGGCAATTTATAGAATTTGAATATTATTTATTCGTTAATTTACTATATTCAGACCTAACAGCGAAAGTCTCTGGTCAAACATAAGTCTTAAGCTTGTTCAAAAATCACTGTGTTGAACTTTTAAGAGGAAAGAGAGATATTTGTATTATTTAATTCCAAATTTATGAAAGCGTATTTATTTTGATATAGGTTTGGTTTCGGATTTCACTCACGTGACCATTTTCCATGTTTGGAAAACATACAAGTAAAGCAACACGTGGGCTTCCCGTGGGAACACTCTTTAACCCACGCGCCCATATCTTTTTTGTTTATTTTTCATAAACAAAATCGATTTTATTATTTCACATTTCCATGCCCTACAACATATGTACAAATATCTCGATTTATATTCTTCTCTATACGTTTTTATATCAGCATTTTTATAATTTAACATTATATATGCCACAATCCATTGTATTGTATTGTGAATAGATTATTCCGGCCATCGTTACGCACATATATAATACAAGTTCTTCAACTCTATATTTGAATTAGAGAAGATGAAAAATGTGAAGAAACTGTCTTATGTATTCCCACATTACATACATAAAAAAAAACTACACTAAATGCTTAGATGTGAACCATTATCTCGTTGATTAGACCAACGAGCAGCTAATACGCCGGGAATATCCAACAATAATAAGGCCAAATCATATATATTATAAAGTGTGTGTAATGTATATATTAATATATATTAAATGTCATTACGAAAATGGGACATGTCGGCCATGTTTGTCAATCTTTTCATGCAATGAATGCTTCGTCATGTCCAGTGAGTGTCACTTGCGCGTGCGTGTGTCCCACACCTCACCTTTTCCTCGTTTTATTTATTTTCCCCTCTTCAAGGATTTTACCTTTTAATTTTATTTGGGAATAAATTCGAATTACACAAAGCCCATTAAAGTGAATGTGAGCCCATTTTCAAAATGGGTTTGGGCTTTTTCGGATCATTGATATCAGCAGCCCATTTTTATCAATTTTTATTCAATGAAAGCATATTAATCCGTACATGACATTTATTTGTGAGAAAAGTAGTATCATTTTGATATTCAATTTTAGTACAAGATTTTATTTATAGCTTTTGTGAAATATTGGTAAACGACCCAAAGCTATTTGATTTATATAATCTGTTGTGAGCTTGAAACATTTGGTTATTTTTTATGCATAAACGTTTAGATTAAAATGTTGTGAAAATCTTACTAATATTTCTGTTCAAGATCACAAATGTTTCATGCCAATTATTGCAGGAAATAACTTTTAAAAAAAAAATATTATGAGGGGTCTGAAAATTAAATTCGAAGGAATAGTAAGCAATCTCAATGATATATGTGTTTGGTAAGTCAAAATATAATGCAAGGCGTTGTGGGATATATATGTTTTATGACTTGCTACCTACCAATGCAACGACTTAGGACTTCACTTGTCCAAAGTGAAACATCTAAAAGGTTTCTTTGTATTTTATTTCTCCTTTTTAGGTTAAAAACTTTAATTAAAAAAAGAAAGAATTGGGCCCCAAACCCATGGATTCAACCGAAGGCTTTATAATTAACACACACACACACACACACAATATTATATATATATATATATATATTTGTCGGATGATATAACCTAGTGTCATTTGAAGACTAAAAATATTAAGAATATGATTACAAATGTGAAGAGTTTTAACGTTAATTTCCATAACTTATTAAAAATCAATCGATAAACTAATATGAAATTATAAATTCTCCATTAGAACAAACATTAATGAAACAAAAACCAACACATAATATTTTTTTCAATTGCATCAGAAAGTAATTACGATAGAATCCAATCTTTTAATTAATCCATTAAAAGATACCCAAATTTGGGTGAACTAGCGGTAAGAGAATACACAAAATATACTCTTACCTCGTGTTCAAATTCAAGCGTGGAGATCGGTCCATTGGTAGATATAGTTGGACCAAAAACCCGATAAACTTTCGAGTAAAACATCACTAAACCATGGACCCCACGTAATATGTGTTGGGGAATCGAAACTTTGTAACCAGAATTCTATATTGTCTGAATTATAGATCTTAGAAATCGAGATATATAGAATGTTTCCATATGATTGATTGGCTAAACTTACAAAGCAATTCAAGAACGTTACATCTCTCTCTCTCTCTCGTGGGAAGGTTGTACTATATTGCCAAACAAAACGAATATAATATATTATTAATTTATGTTTCTTTCATATATACACGCATGTATATTAACAAGCAGTCCTACAAAATCATGCATGTGTGTCGTATATCGCGGTATCAATCATAGAAAACATTGATAAGATAGGTTGTATATCAATTTCCATTTCCCGGCCTACATAGTACTGAAAATGTATCTACACTCGAGATTCCATCATGAAAAGGTATAAAAAAAAATAGATCTAATTTGTCGTTATATATATATATATATATATATATATATATGTAGAGAGAGAGAATGCATGGGGAGAGAGACACATGAACAACCGGCAAAGAACAAAGAAGAGGAAGAGAAGAGGAGTAAAAGGGACCGTGTCGGCCATGTTATTAGTATCTCACAAAATACTCACTTTTTTTTGTCAACAAATCATATATATTTATATATCTGTATGCATATATATATATATATTCAAAGTCTTTTATGGAGTTCCTTTTATTCAACTTTTCAAAATTTTCTGCTGAATTCAAAGTCTTACAAAATCGAATTTCGGCTCGTCTAACGTATACGCTATATGGGCCCCAACAAAATCTGCATGTTTTCTTTTATGTTAGATTTCATGAAAACGAGAAACCAACCAATGAAGAAAGCAATCCCATGTTTTTTTAGGAAAAAAACATTAACACAATTGTCAGTTCAATTCAGTGCCAGAAAAGAATTGCAGTGGTAATATCCAATAATTTATATGAACGAACTGCCGTGCAAAACTTATAAATGGTGATTGTCAAATCGGGTAATTAATTATTTAAATTAGTTTATGTAAAATTAATAAAAAAATATTGGTTAATTTTATATTTATATCTCCTAAAACGCGAATTAATATATTTAATATAATAAGTGCAATGTAATCATTTGTGTTTTTAACCTTTTTGAAAAATATTTCTTTTGAATTTGGAAAGTACGAACGAATCAAACACACCATAAAATTGTCACTCTTCAAATCGTTTCATACGGCCGACTTAGCCAATAGTCAGACGTAAGTCGGCCCTAAATATCTTACACACATACACATTATATATATATATATATATGTATACTATATTGAAATGTACGGAACGTGTGTATATACACGCACGTATGTGTCATACAATTGCAGGAGTCTTTATAAGTGTTAGTTCTGTGGCCCTTTTCTTAGGATTTCGACGGAGACAGAGACAAGGACACGTTATTTGACGAATTTGTCTTTCACGAAAAAACCGTCTCAAAATCTCAATAATATTCTTAATTTTGCTCGTTGTTTGATTTTTTTTTTTTTGTGAAAAGCAATTTTATCGAATCTTTTAATTACGATGTAATATATACGCAGAATGATATATATATATATAGAATTAGAAATTAGTTAGATGATCAGCGATAATTAATTATCTTTGAAATTTGGATATTGGGCATTAACTGCAAATTAAAGGGGGGTTATTTTGGACGCTATATGTGTTTATGTTCATGTATAAAAGAGAGGATGGGTCCATGGGATATGGCAAAAGAGATGTGTTGTCTGCTCTATGAGGAAAAGAAAAAAGCACATAATTATTTTCTCTTTTTCTTCTTGTTCATTTATTTTGTTTTTAAAATACATTCTTCTTAAATTTTCTGGATTTAAGTACTCTAAAGCGTTAAAATTTTCAGGTTTAATTTGATCATATTTGGATTTATTTTCATAAGTTTTACAAAAATTATATCATTGAATGAGTTTTTTTATTTGGTTTAGAGTATTATTCAGCTTGCTAGAATCCAAATTTCAATAAAAATTCTTATTTTCTGCATAGACTTTTATTTTATTATTTTTTTGTTATTTTTATATTCAATTCAAATACAATTAATTTGATATTGGAAAAATTTATAACAATATTCACATTCAATTCAATATCTATACAATTACTTGTTATTCAATTCCCAACACTATTTAAATTGTCTACCACTAGTTTCAATATCCATCCTTTCATTTCCTTTGTATCAACCATATATATATATATATGGATGGAGGTAGGACAGGTTGTCGAACGTAAGAGGAAGATAGGATGAGGTGAAAAAAGCAGTGCAAAGTGAAATAAGTTTCAAATATATAAATAGCCATATATAATATATGCTTAAACAGTGGAAATGTTTAATCAGAAGAGACAAGCCGAATTAATTATCATTTCAAAAGTTCACTAATTATCATAAGTTATAATATATTTTTATAAAAGGAGGCACATAACATCTTTTTATGATTAATGATCATTTCAAAAGATAAGTGTCTTTAGACATTTTAACAGGCACCCACCATTCCTTCAAACCCTAATCGAAAGCCAGTAAAATTAATTTTTTCCAATAAATATATATATACATACATATATATATATATATGTAGTTTGAAAAAAGGTTAAAAGATTGTGCTATAGAGAACTTAGTGATAGACATAATGAAAGAAAGCCAACATCATCTCCATTTTGTCTCTCTATGGTGAAAAGAGTTTCTCTGCTGCTTTTTCCAAAGACGAGATAATATTATTACAAAACACTTTTATAAATTTATGCGTTGTGGGTTCGCTTCTCCATCTTTCTTCCTTTGGATTTTATTTTCTATGATATTTGGTCCCCCTCACTTCCAAATTTCAATCTCGAAATAATTAGACCCCTAATTATTTCTAAAGATTCACCCCTTTGCAATTATATATAGATGTTCACATTCCACCTTTTGGTTTATTCCATATGTTCTATGTCACGAATCAATATGGACTCAAATAAGAGATAAGTTCGAATAATTTCGAATGAATATAATACAAAGTCTGGCGCATCAGTCGGACCAAATCTCCAAATACCTTCATTATTTGCTTAAGCTACTATATATCGAAATTCATGATATTCGAAAAACTGTCTTCAAGAAGTTCGTATAATGATCATTCAGTAATGGTTCTAAATACCCTTTATGACCACAATATATAGAGATTGTTTTAAAGTATATAGTATAGGTTATATATTGTTTAATGACGGCACTTCATTGCCGTTTGATAAAAGATATCTGCGAATGACAACACGATAGGACTCGTAACTAATTTTCAATCACTAGGTCAATGGTCGTACGTTTATTATCAAGAAGTACGTACAAAAACAATACATATATATATGTACATAGATATATGTACGTACATATATATGTATGTATATGTATATATGTATGCTTGTGTGTGTGTGTGTGCCCTCGCGTGTGTGTCTGTGCATATAAACTAACGTCGATAAATAGAGCAACATTATCTCACGACCCAATAATTCACTTGCTTGTTCATATCGTAATAAAAGCTATATAATCAATTTATATTATGATGTCTGTTTAAAAGAGGGAATGTTTTTTTAATGAATATATAAGTAAAAGTTGGTTGATCAATATATATATATATATATGTGTGTGTACATATATATGTATGTATATGCACACACAGATCTGAAATTATTTGTCATCTCACAACAATTTTGGCAAAAACTTTAATTTTTCGTTTCGTATGAACACACACACACACACATTTGTGTATATATATATAAGTTCACATTATTTTATCAATAATTACATCAAACATATATAGTATCATGAGAGTGTGGCAGAAGCAAGCACATACATACGCATGCACACATATAGCCGAAAGAGAGTGATCAAAACTCCTGGTCCTGGAATTAGCGAAGAGCTTCGTATTCTCATTGCATTAATTATACGATCAAATCAATAATGATCGTCTACAAAACATAAAGTACAAGCCTAACCCTAATCCAAAATCCAAAACACCCCAACATTCAGAAATCGACATGCAATTCCAGATTTATACATGGTCAGATTCTTAGGTCTCCAAGCACAGACTTTCCAGACTTTATTCTTACGTGTGTATATATAATGCGATTATTTGGTATAAGATATATGTAATTGATATCTCATCAAACAGAAAGATGCATGATCGCATATACATACATATATATATATATATATGTATAGACAGCATGATACGAACTGATCAATAGCTCCACAAGCGGTCTCCACCGTCCGAATTCTCCGGCGAGTCATCCGACGGCGGAGACCCCATCCACGGCGGTGAAACCAGCATCCCCTCCGCCATGTCAGCAAGCAAACTGGGCATGTTCAAGATCGCTTCTTCATCCACAAACTCCGCCGGACCCACTGCCACGTCACTGCCTCCGTAAATTTCACGCGTCGCCGAAGAACCTAACCCACAGTTCCTCTTCTCCTTCTCCTTCGCCGCCGCAGCCGCAGTGGAGGCCGCGAGCCTTATATCCGCCGCTGAGGTGGAGCCCGGGACAGGGTACGACGTGGCAGATTCTGGGAAGTTTAAGACAGCCTCGTTGCCCTTGAGGGCGAGAGCCGCCACATCATAGGCGGCGGCGGCCA